CAGGGTTGTCCTTTTTCTGGGAAGCAGACTGCTGTGCCCTCCTCCAACAGAACGGCTTAGGGGCTCGAACCAGTGACTTTCGGTTAACAGCCTACCTAACTTAACCACGTGCTTCCAGGGCTTCGTCCCTAGAGGCAGAAACAGGCCCTGGTGCAGAGTTCCACACACAGGGTTACCACGCGTCACGATCAACTCTACAGCAGTGGGGCTCCTTCTGCCTTTGTCCTCAGGCTCCCACCATGGGCTTTGGGGACGCAAAGAGCAGCAGAGACAGAGATTCCGGCTCCAAGGGGGGAAATAAGAAGCATTTCTTATGCTAGGAGGGCCCACCAGCCCCAACACACCTCAAATGGCTGGCCTCTCCACTTGACTGTTTATGCATTAGATGGTTTGCTCTTAGCTGCTAACCTAAAGGTGGGGGGTTCTAACCCACCTGACAGCATCATGGAAGAAAGGCCTGGCTACCTATAAAGAGTAAAGTCAAGAAAATCCTGTACAGTGATGGGGGATGCTTATACAGTATGATTCATGGTGTGTACACACATATACCACAACATATATATGCATGTTTGTGTGTTTATCATATCAACAATAAGGAAAACTCTGCAGGACATTCCACTCTGTACTACATGGGGCTGCCAGGGGGGCGAATCTGGCGATGGGTTTTCTGGTTTGTTTTAAAGTGAATGCTGCTCTAAGTCTTTGGGTTTTATTTTATCTAATGGTATTATATGCCAGTCCTTGGACCCTGTGCTCAGGCACGCCTGGCCATATCTCTCACAAAACCTTACACTATTGATAATAACGCCCCACCCACCCTTACAGTCAAAAGGGCTGGGACTCTAGAGAAGTTAAGTGACATTTTCAAGGTCAGTACAGTTGTCGATGGCCAAGCTGGTCTAAACACCACTTGATCCTCCAAACCTATTCTTGGAAGCTACTCCGCTGTGTGGTTCTTTTTTCCGGGAGGAGGGTGAATGGAAGCTAAACGTAAAATCACACAAGACATATTGAACCACCCAAGAGAGCAGTGGTTTCTCGGCACCTGAACCATTTATATAAAGTAATTTTCCCACAACAACATCATATTCTTACCTAGTTACAGAAATGGCTCCCCTACGTTCATTATTTGGAAACATTTAGTTGATGTTTTTATTGTTATGTAATTAAATATAATTAAGAGTTTCCATTCATTTAGACTTGCATGCCCTCATTCATAAGACCAAAGGAGTGATATTTTGCTATATGCTTCTTCTTCTTTTTTTTTTTTAAGCTCGGCAAGTGGAAGTCCTTATAATGGATTCTAAATCCCCACCCCACCCCACCCCTGCCCCGTTACTTTTATTGGAGGGCTCTTACAGCTCTTATCACAATCCATACATTCATCCACTGTGTCTAGCACATTTGCACATATGCCCCATCGTCATTTTCAAATCTTTCTCTTCCCACTTGAGCCCCTGATGTCAGCTCCCCATTTCTTCCCCCTCCCTCCCCCACTTGCCCTCCCTCATAAACCCTTGATAAGCTATAGTTATTATTTTCATCTCTTACATTGTCCTCTATTGTCCCTCACCCACTTTTCTGTTATTCGTCCCCCTGGGGGTTATATGTTGATCCTTGTGATCGATTCTTTCCCTACCCTCCCTAATCCTCCTAGTATCTCTACTCTCATTGTTGGCCCTGGGGGGTTTAATCTATTCTGGATTCCCTGTGTTTGGGGCTCTTATCTGCAGCAGTGTGCATGTTCTGGTCTGATCTGCTTTGTAAGGTAGAATTGAGGTCATGATAGTGGGGGGAAGGAAACACCAAAGAGCTAGAGGAAAGTTGTGTTTCATCGGTGCTGTACTGCACCCTGACTGGCTCATCTCTTCCCTGTGACCACTCTGTGAGGGGATCTCCAATTGTCTACAGATGGGCACTGGGTCTCCACTCCATGCCCCCCC